CTTCCTTCCTTCCTTTCTCCTTCCTTTGCTTCTCCCTTCTTTCTATCTATGCTTCTTACACTTTGTAGAAACATAATGCTTCTTGCTTTATAATGCTCTTTGCCCTACAGGGAAAAAAAAAATGAAAATAAAACAAAAAATTCTTAATTGATCCAAACCATAATGGATATAGTATTTTATTTTGTACATTATAATGAATTTTCTTTATTTTTTTGAATCACTCTTTTTTATTTTTTTGACAAATGTTGTAACAGCGGAAGAGCTAGGAAATGCTTAGAACGATCTAAATGAAACCAACTATCCATATATAAAAGAAAAAGGGCCAGGCACGGTGGCTAATGCCTGTAATCCCAGCACTTTGGGAAGCCGACGTGGGCAGATCTTGAGCCCAGGAGTTTAAGACCAGCCTGGGCAACATATTGAGACCCCATCTCTACAAAAAGGACAAAATTAGCTGAGCGTGGTGCCATGCACCTGTAGTCCCAGATACCCAGGAGGCTGAAGCAGGAGGATTGCTTAAACCTGGGAGGTGGAACAGTAAGCTGAGATCATGCCATTGTACTCCATCCTGGGAGCCTGGGTGACAGAGCCAGACCCTTTCATCAAATATATATATATATACACACACACATACACACACACACAGACACACACACACACATATACATACATACGTGTGTGCATATATGTGTTTGTATATAGATACATATATATTGAGAGAGAGAGATCTATTCTGTGATGATGGAAATATTCTGTCTGTGCTGGCTAATACAATAGCCACTAGTCACATGTGGCTATTGAATGTTTGACATTTAGCCAGTGTGTATATATGTAGTATATCTTTTGTGGAAGATATACTATATATATACATATATGAAAAAGATACAAATTAATTGTTATTGAATTAATAACATTGCTTTAGAGCAAGCTTTCTCTATAGATATTTTAGAAATTAAAGTAAACTTCTGTGGTCTTGTCAACATATAAATAATATTTCCCATGTATTTATTTCTTTTAGGCTTTTAAAACCAAGGATGGCTATATCGTAGTTGGAGCAGGAAATAACCAGCAGTTTGCCACTGTGTGCAAGGTAATCTATAATTATTGGGATTGGTCTATGATCTTGTACAAAGCCAGGGAAAATTCAGTTTTGCCCAGGTCATAACCAACTTAGGCCCCCTGTATTAGCACCAAAAGTATAGGATTTTCATGCTTGTAAAGGATAAGGCAGAGTCCAAATTAGCATTCTGTGTTTTTTTGTGGTATCTGACTGCATTTTAAAATGAAGAATCGTAGTAGCTTAAATTGTCCTAAAACTTGACCTGCCTACCAGTCCAAACAAAATGGGTGAAAAACAAATCATTTTTAAAGAGACTTTTAACACTGGTATTTTTTTCTTTTTTCCCCTCCCTCCTTCCCTTCCTGCCTTCCTTTCTTCCTTTCGTTCTCTACCTTCTTCTTTTACTATATCAGGTTAATTGGACCCATATATAGTTAAGCTACTCCCATATTTATTTTATTTACTACTGGAAATTTTGAAACTGTTTTTCAACTTAACTTTTATTTAATGAGTACCTTTCTGAAGAATTTATGTTTCAAGGTTTTAGGAATTAAGATTATATTAAAATTGTTCCTTCTCAACAAGGCCTTAAAATAAAGGCCTTGGAATCATTTTAAATAATTTATTCTTAGGGATATTCTAAACTTGTAACATTTATTAGACTTAGCGATCTCGGAACACTGCAACCTCCACCTCCTTGCTTCAAGCGATTCTCCTGCCTCAGCCTCCAGAGGAGCTGGGATTACAGGTACACGTCACCATGCCTGGCTATTTTTGTGTTTTTAGTAGAGATGAGGTTTCACCATGCTGGCCAGGCTGGTCTCAAACTCCTGACCTCAATCGATCTGCCCACCTCAGCCTCCCAAAGTTCTAGGATTACAGGTGGAACCATTGCACCTGGCCTACTAGACTTTTTTTTTTTTTTTTTTTTTACTTGATGTTATGAGTTACCAAGACTTTGGTGTTTTGTTTTAATTTTAGAACTTAGGTATCTGTTCATTTTTTCTAGTTTTAATCCAGGGAATGTTTATTTTTATTTTTCTTAAATATATCCAAAGGCCTTACCTATTAAGGATTTTTTTCTTTCTTTTTTTTTTTTTTTTTTTTTTATAGTAAATTTACAATTATAAAGAAGAAAGAAAAGTCATTTTCTCAAGTTTACTCTGATCAAGATGAGGGCCGGGTGCGGTGGCTCACGCCTGCAATCCCAGCACTTTGACAGACCGAGAGGTGGGCAGATTGCCTGAGCTCAGGAGTTTGTGACCAG